AGGGGAAGGAGGGGAGGAAGGAAGAGTAGAGCAGAACTGTTCAGAGAACAGGGTCAGCCCACTTGGGTTCACCCAGATCCTCTTTGGCGACTCACCAAGACAGACGCTTCTCGGAGTCATACAGAGTGCTGCACGTGGGCTGTCCTCAGACACACTGGCGTCAGTGTTGAGTGCTAAGGCATGATGAGGAGAACCTGGGAAGCACTGAGGCTTTGTCCTTCCTGCTCTGTCTCAGCAGCGGGAGTGGGGAAAGGTCCCCACACAACTTCCTTGGGAGGAAATAGTGACCCCATCTGCATCCCCGCACCTCCCGCCTCCAACAGTGGAGAAAGGCAGTCTTGTGTGGACCCTAGCTACTCAAACTGTGGCACTCAGACCAGCGGCATTGGCCTCTTGGCCAGCTAGTTAGAAATGCACATTCTCTGGCTCCACCTCAGACTTGCTGGATCACAAACTGCATTTGACCAAGATGCCAGGTGTTCTGCATGCACTCTACTGTTAGGAAAGCTCTGCTTTGGGCTAGTGGTTCTAATGTAGGCTGCACATTGGAATCCCCAGGGGGGCTTTTAAAAAGGCTGGTAAGTGGGTCTTGACCTGGGGTGCAGCCTGCGAATCAAAGGCCATGCCTCACTGCACAGAGGCCTCCCAGCTTAGACCCTCAGAACAATGCTGGTGGGGGATGCTGCTGCCAAGGCACCTTCCCCAGCCCTGCCTGGCCTGCCCGACCAGTCCACGCTCTGCTCCCCGGGGCATTATGAGGCTCTTGGGTTTTGGGCTAGTGAGGTGAGAAGGGGGTGGTTCTCCTGTTAGCTCTACAGTCCTGCCCAGAGCTGTGACTCTGAGCTGGGGATCCAGAAACCTGTGCCCTTATCTTATCTCTGCTGGGTGGCCTCAGGCAGAGAAATTTCTGTCCTTCTCTGAACTTCAGTTTCTTTCTCTCTAAAATAGAATAGTCAGAGCCTATCCCATTGGAAAGAATGTCTAGTGTTCCTTCCAGTTTTATACACATATGCACAGATTCTCAAAGTTGAATCGGACCTTGGAGATTATCTAGTTTGTCCTTACCTTCATATGAATGGGGAAACTGAGGCCCAATGAGGCTAAAGGCTGTCTAAAGTCAGAAATACCATCACCATCTAGAGAAAAATTTTTACCAATGAAAACTATTCATTGTCTAGAGCATACTCTTCCACATTATATGTTTCTGATTCTGAGGGCTGTGTGCTTTTTATTGTCCCTGAAGTTACAGATAAATCATAACAATGAAAAATAATCTTTGCCTATAGAAATGTAAATTCCTATCTCCCCCACTCCCCCTCATGGATTTTAAATTGACTTTCTTCTCCTACTATGGAAGACGCCAGTTTTGCCTCAATTTGCACATTTATCCCATTGTTCCTGATCTGTAAATGTGTTTGTACTTGAACTAGTTGTAACATCTTATAGGTTCCCTCATTGAATGAGTTAAATAAAATCTTTAACACCTGTTCATTTTATATCTATATGGAAGTTATGATTTTACCTTCTTTTTGAAAATTCTCTTTTAATAACAAGGATAACCAAAATTTAAAAGCAGATGTCCTGACTTATTTTAGGATTGACGCCTCACAGGGACCAAGTGATAACAAAAATGGGAGATGCGTATCCTGTAGTGGCTGTGGGCTATGAAGAGCCAGGCTCCCTAAAGGGTGGGTGGCAGCTCAGTGTCAATGGACCATTGTCCTGTGGGAATGCAAACAGGCATTTTCAGATTCTATGATTTTTCAGGAAAAGCTGGAAACCCATAATTTAATGAGAAGTCACTTTTTAAAATTATACCTTAGCAACTAAATAAAATTTTCTAGGAAACACCATTCACACAAATCATGTTTGAGGCTTGCATCACCTATCTGTGATCTCTACATGTGACCCACATGCCTGCTTCATACATATTTGAGGTGGTAAGTACTCTTTACAGGCAGGGCACACACACACACACACACACGCGCGCGCGCGCGCGCGCGCGCTCGCACACCAGCCTTTGGATACATGCCTGGTCCCCAATTACACTCACCCCACCATACACAAGCGTGGCTGGTAGGTTGTCCTGGGCCATATTATTCCAAGGCCCAGACCCAGTTACCGCTCCAGGAAGCCCATTGTCATTAATAGTAAGGTGGTAACAATTTCCAGTTTTCTAACCCATCACTTCTAAAACCTGAGTTCTTTAAGGACAGGGTGCTTGTTTTAGTAATTGTCACTTTTACATATGTGTGTGCATATTTATGAATGCCCGGTGCTTTAGATCACTGTATGTCAACCTGGGCTGAACATTTGAATCACCTGGGATTTTTTAAAAAGCACCCATAGCTAGGTCCTATCTCCAGAGATTTAATTGTCTAGAGTGTGGGCTGTGGGTTGGGATTTTTAAAAGCTCCCAAAGGACTGCAGTGTGCAGCCCTGGAACCATGGCTCGGTAGTCTTGACCATGTTTACTTTTCACGTTGGCTCTTTCGCCATGTTTCTCGTTTCCCCCAAGGATGGTCAAAGTCTACCTCCTCAGAGAGTCCTTGTCAAATTCAAAAGGGGCAACCCACCCCCGTCTGCTGTTACTTGAACCTGATTTTCTGTCTTCTGGTATTAATACTTGATGGTGTCATCTTGCTGATTGCTCTTTGCTAAGACCCTGGTCTTAGGGGGGCTGGGGAGTGTGCCGGTGGGGATGGGGCAGGCCTTTATCTTGTTCACTTGCTCACTCTATAAGTGAATGGGTGACTAGCTTTATTATAGTACGGAGTGTGAGAAGTGACCACTGAGAGACCGAATTGAGCCAAATGGTGAGTCTTTATTAGCTGGCCAGCGACTACCCTCTGCACCGCTGAGAGGCAGCAGCGCAGAGAGCAGCCCCGAGCGGAAAAGGTGAGAAGGCTTTATACTAATTTGGAGGGGGCTACCGGACATTAAACATGACATAGTGGAACAAAATAATTACATCATACATTCCCTAGCCACGGGGTCTGGGACCTGCCTCAGACCACCTGCCCAGCCACGTGACTGATTCCAATCTTTGAGCAAGCAAGGTTACAGAAGCAGATAGCGTCAGTTAAGGCAGGGAGCATTCTTTCTTGGGGAGGCAAGTACAGTAAATTTGACTACAGATAGCTGGGGGGTTTTCACAATCAGTTACAAGGTCATTGCTTACAGAGTACAGATTTTTCTATTAGGGCGAGGTTTACAAAGTACAAGCTTTTTACTCTATAGACAGGAATGAGTCTTGAAACAGCATTTTCATAATAACTTTTTATATTTTTGAGGCCCACTACTACAGCTTATCACTGAGAGGTGGTTTCATTATTATTATTATTATTTTAAATCCTTGTTTTGCCAATGAGGAAACCGAGGCCAGAGAAGTTAAGGCCCCTGCCCAGGCTCTCCCAGCAGTAGGTGGCAGGGCCACAGTGCAAGCGGGTCTACCTGACTTAGAGCAAGCACTCTGAACAAGCCACTGTCCCTTCCCTCCTTCTATCGTGGTGGCCTTGGTTTCCAGTTACAGTATCTGTGGCTTTCCAGAATTTCCTCCAAAGCCCTTCATGTGGAAATGCCAACTACTCCAGACTGAAAGGAACGTGCCAGCCCATGGAGAGGTCATCCAAGGCAGCTGGGAAATTTAAGCTTTTACTGCCCAGGGTCATTGACCTCTTGTGTGATGATGGAGTGTGTCTGAGGCTGAGAGAATGGAGTATATAGGAGACAGGAGGAAGTGGGTGATGGGGTAGAGGGGATCGGCTGCTATCAAGATGAAGAAGGAATGATGCTGGAAGGGTCTGCAGCCCCCTTCCTATTTCCCAATGAGGCTCCAGGGCATACCAGTGTTGGCACTGGGCACCCCCCATGCCCACATACACAAGTCCACCAAGGAGGAGAGCCCCATGGACACCTCTCATACCACTCATGGAGCAACCTCAGGGGAAATGAGTTCTAGTTTTGCTTCTGCAATGTGACATCGGACAGGCCCTCTTCCTCTCGGGACCTCGAATTGCACTTGTGGTAATGATGAGGTTGGGTAGAGGAGAGAGGGAAGAGCTTATCAGAACACGAGGATTGTTTGGTAGAGTTTGGTGGATAGTAATGTACCAATGTCATGTTCTTAGTTTTTATGAAAGTACCACGATATCTTAATGTTAACAATGGGGGAAATTGGAAGAGAGTTCTGTACTATTTTTGCAACTTTTCTGTAAACCTAAAATTAATTCCAAAATAAAACCTTGATATAAAAAGAGATGACTAGGTGAGCTTTAAATTCTACTCATGTATTCATTTATTCAACAAAGATCGATTGTCTATCACGTGTCAGGCACTGGGCATACATTAGTGACTAAAAGTCATGATCCCACGCCTTGTGGAGTTTGCAATCCAGTGGTAATTTGGCGGCAATAATATTCTCTCTTTTTTTTTAAAGCAAACCTCAGCTAGCGTAGAAACCTAGCAAAATCTTGGCTGAGGGGTCTATTAGCAGAATCCATGCTCTACCACTTTCTAGCTTTGTCACCTCAGCAGAGCTAAGCTCGCTGTGTATCTGTTTCCTCAGTGCCAAAATAGAGGAAAAATGGATTCCTTCCTAAGTCCTTGGCACGCCTGCAAGCAGTTACTAATGTGAGTTATAATGATTATAATAATTATTAAAAAGGCACAGTGATTCGTAACACGGATACAGGGAAGCGTAGCATGGGCAGGGAGCGTGACATTTCTGTCAAGGACTCGGGTGTGAAAAACGCCGGAACCGCAGGTTCCTAAAGGTCCTTCCTGGGGTGACAGTCACAGCACGAGTTCAGAAACCACAGCCCCGCCCCCGCATTCAGCCACGCCCCTTTCCCCTGGCCCCGCCTACGCCCCTCAGCAAAAAGGCCTTGACACCCCCGCTAGGAGGAGAGCCTGGACAGACAGGAGCAAGGGGCGGAGCCGAGAGAGATCCGTCACCCTCCTGGCCCGGAAACGTCTGGCCCGGGCGGGGCGGGGCGAACTTGCCGGTGGCTGGACTCGGCTTTGCATAGCAATGCCCGGCTTTGCATAAGCAGTGCAGGCAGGCATTTAAAGGCCCGCGGCCGCCACCAGGGATCTTGTAGTTAACTCCGTGCAGATCCATCCTTTGCGATGCAGACCCTGTTGCAGGCTCCGCTGCTGCTAGCCCTAGGCTTGCTTCTCGCTGGCCCTGCGGCCCCTGCGCGCGTCCACCTGAAGCAGGTGAGTGCCCCCTCTTTTGAAGAGGTTGCTTGCAGCCTCCTGGCCCAGCTGGAGGCTGGTGCGGGTCAGGGTGGGATATAAGGGTGGCCGCTGCGTCCTCCAGAGTTGCTTCTCTGCAGTAGAGCCTCCCCATGTCACTAACTATGGGACTCTGATCTATACAAGGAGGGTGGGCTCTAAGGACTTGTTCTACACCCGGGCTGTTTCTGGGGACGTTAATCTCTTTCAAGTCTGCAAACCTGCCCTCTCTCCAGGCGCCTGAAACTGAGCAGAGCCGCAAAACTAAGTCTCTTCCCGGGGCCCAGATTCAGTCATGTTACCCCGCTCCTCCCTGCAACGCCCAGGTCCCGGCGATAAGGCCTGGTGTCTTATCTCTTTCCCTGCTCTAATGCTCTGAGCTCTTCCTGAGGGATGGGTGGCTTTGAGAGCCCCTACAGGCCAGAGGTCCAGAATCGCCCATCTGGAGACAAATATCCAGCCCTGTGAGCCACTGAGAGACCAGGCCCCTCACCCTCCAACTTTTCCCTTCACTTCTCTCTCTCTTTTTTTTTTTTGAGACAGAGTCTCACTCTGTTGCCTGGGCTAGAGTGTGGTGGCATCAGCCTAGCTCACAGCAACCTCAAACTCCTGGGCTCAAGCGATCCTCCTGCCTCAGCCTCCTGGGTAGCTGGAACTACAGGCATGCACCACCATGCCCGGCTAATTTTTTTCTATTTTTAGTTGTTTGGCTAATTTCTTTCTGTTATTAGTAGAGATGGGGTCTCGCTCTTGCTCAGGCTGGGCCCCTTCACTTCTCATTCACAGCACGCTCCAACCTCTGGAAAAGGGAACTTCTGTCATTCTGAGACCTGAAAAAGCCCAGTGCTAGCATAGTGTCCTCCAGATTCATCCATGTTGTTGCAAATGATACGAGTTCCCCCTTTTTAAAAGCTGAATAATAGTCCATCGTGTGTATATACTACATTTTCTTTATCCATTCAATCTGATAATTTCTTTATCCATCAAGTGGCCATTGATGGCCACTTGGGTTGTTTCCATATCTTGGCTATTGTGAGTAATGCTGCAATTAAGTGCCAATATCCCTTGAAAATATTGATTTCAGTTCCTTTGGATATACACCCAGAAGTAAGATTACTGGTTCATATGGTATTTCTATTTTTATGATCTCACTTATATGCGGACTCTAACAAAGTTGAAGTTACGGAAGTAGAGAGTAGAAGAATGGTTACCAGAGGGAGTTATTGATCAAAGGATACAAAGTTTCAGATAGACAGGGGGAATAGATTTTATGGTTTATTGTACACCAGGGTAACTGTAGTCAATAAAAATGTATTATATACAGAAGTTTCTTGACTTACAATGGGGTTACTTCCTGATAAACCCATTGTAAGTTGAAAATACCATCAAGTTGAAAATGCATTTAATATGTCTAACCTACCAAACATCACAGTTTAGCTTACCCCACCTTAAACATTCTGAGAACACTTACATGAGCCTACAGTTGGGCAAAATCATCTAACACAAAGCCTACTTCTTAATAAAGTGTTGGATGTCTCATGTCATTTATTGAATATTGTGCTGAAAGTGAAAAGCAGAGTACTGATTTTCAAAGTTACAGTTTCTGTTGAATGTGTCTCACTTTGGCTCTATTGTAAAGTTGAAAAATCATAGGTGAAACCATCCTAAGCCAGGGACTGTCTGTATTCCAAGATAACTAAAAGAATAAATTTCACACTGTACCCCATAAATGAATACAACTATGATTTGTCAATAAAAAAAAGTCTGGTTCCGTTGCCTCTTAGCTACATAGCCGTGGGCAAGACATTTAATACCTCTCGCAGCAAAGAAGTAGGTCTACGCAGACCTCCTCCCGCCCACCCACCACCTTGGAAATGCTTGTCGGAGAGCAAGGGACAGGGTGGTGTAGGGGAAGGTGGCTAGGACTGAAGGCGGGGAGGCCTGGCTTCCGTCCTCTGTCCCAGTCCTTGGACTCCCTGAGCCCTGGTGGCGTCGTCTGTGAGGGGATGTGATGATGCCAACCTGCATCTCGGACAGTTGTTAGTGAAGGGAAATGCTGTCATGGATGGAAAAGCTCTAAAATCTCAAACAAATAAAGCCACATAAACCTGTGGGCTTGGCCTCAGCCTGTCTCAGAGGCACAAAGTCTGTTTTGCCTGTTGAATGAAGGAGCAAGGACCTCTTGGCCTAATTTGCTGAGAGGATTTGTACCTTGTCCCTGAGTGTAGGTTGAGAATGTTTCTCTTGGCTCCAGGGCTGGCCACTATAAGGTGGAGTCTGGCTAGCGGATTCTAGCCTGCCCTCCGTCCCCATTCTCCTGTAAGTCTTTACTGTGGATGTCATCCCAGACTAGAGGGTCTTAGATTGGCAGTTTTGGAGAGGGCTCAAGACGTCATAGAAGTCACCCAAAATCACACAGCACCCATATCTTCTCTGGGCTCATGTGATTCAGAGGCCTGACCCTGAGACCATGGGCCAGATGGAGGCTGAAATCCTGAATTTCAGTTCCTCTTCTAGCATCTGCTGGTCTTGTGACTGAGAGCTGTGATGAGCGTTAGATATCAGGGGAGATATCTGGGGAGGATGGGCATACAGCAGGTGCTTAATACACTCCATGATGCTGTATAATGGTGCTATGCATTGAACCATGTGCTTTTTTCCTAACAAACTTTTCATTCTGGAATAATTTTAGAGCTACAGAAAAGTTGCAGAGGTAGCACAGAGTTCCCATATACCCCTCACCCAGTTTCCCCTGTTAGCATCTTTTATTCCCATGGTACATCTGTCAACACTAAGAAACCAACATTGGTACATTGCTATTAACTAAGCTCTAGGCTTTATTTGGATTTCACCAGGTTTCTCATTAATTTCCTCTTTCTGTGCCAGGATCCAATCCAGGGTACCACGTTGCCATTGTTGTCATGGCAACACATCATTGTCGCACTGTTGTCCCCACTCTCCTCGGGCCTGTGATAGTTTCTCAGTTTTCCCTTATTTTTCATAAGCTTGACAGTCTTGAGGAGTCGTGCCCTGTATTTTATGTATGCAAACGTCTTACCCTCACAAGAGCTTTGTGAGAAGATATAATTTTGCCCATTTGAAGATGAAGACATTGAACCTCTGTGGGGGGTTAACTTGCTCATAGTGTCAGCTAGTGAGGGGAGCTGAGCTGTACTGTTAGCTCTTGACTGTAATTTGTACCCATATTTCTACCTCCGGAGCTGTGCCTTTCCCCTCTGCCATTTGCTGCCTCTTCCCACGTGCTGGCCTAGGCTGGGGACAGCGAATACCTGGTGCCTGGCCTGGCCATCAGTGGGCATTGCTAAGCCATCACCCCTTCTCGTAGCGTGGGCTGAGAACGAATACTCAACGCAAAGATTAGAATAGTTTTAAAGAAAGAAGTTTATTTTACTTCCCAAAGGGAGGGAAGGGCACAGCATGAAAGAAAGAAAGGAGAAGGAGAAGTACCACCCCAAGGGTAAGGGGCTTGGGGCTTGTACGGGGGGCAAAGGAAAAAAGGTTATTGCTGCAAGTTGATAGCAGAAGGCTGCTGTGAAGTGGCTGCGTTTGTTTTTCCGTTTTTTCCCTCTTCTCTGTGAGCTGACTTATCAGTCTCCCCAGAACGTGGGCTGGTGGGAACTGGAGGAGGTCACACTCTTTCTACGTGCTCAGTTCTTTTCAATTGTTGTAAAAACAAACTCTTAAAGACCACAAGTTAAGCCACAGGTGGTTAGTTAAACAAAAGGGCCATTGTGAGCTGTGATCTTTCTCTCTTTTTGTATTAGATAGTTCGTTTTTCTCCGTTAGATAGTTTGAGCAATGCTATCCTTTCCCCTTCTTTCCCTGATGAGCCCGGACTCAGCTGGCAGAATTCATGGCCACAGGGACAGCCACTCGGGCGCTACCTTCAGGAAACCGCCTTGTCATGTGTTGAATGCCTGGGGAGAGGAGAGAGGGTTCTTTAGCTCCTGTAGGGCACTCTGGATACTTCCCTCAGCCTAGAATCAGTCCTCAGCGCGAATCAGGCTGCCTTCGAATCTGTGAAAGCAGCCCCAGAAAAGGGCTAGTCCTACCCACCCCTCCAGCCCGACTCTTGGTTCCAGGCATTCTTTTGGTTGGCTGTGGCCTCCTGACTAGTTTCTCCCCTTCCAGTCTTGTTCCTTTTCAGTGTGTTCCCAGACATCCATCAGAGCATGGTGCTGTCCTTCAGCAGGGCTGCACGGACCTGTGGTAAGGTCAGCCTCCTGACTCACGGCCTGGGGGGTCCTGCCACCCCTCCCACCTCATCTGGGTCCGTCATCCACTACATCTAGCCCATGGCTTTCTCGTCGTGCCTGGAGCAGCTAAACTTCTTTCTGCCTCAGGGCCTTTGCCCCGGTTCCCCTGCCTGGAACATTCATTGTCTCTGTACTTACGTGGGTGACTCCCCGTCCTGCAAGAGTCCAGCTTAAGTGTCACTTCCCCACCACCCACTTTAAGTTGTCTTTTGTTACTCTCAATGTCACCTTCTGCTCGTTCCCTTTGTGGCACTCACAGATCATGGTGGGTGATATTTATTTCCATTAGACTGTAAGCTTCTCAAGGCAGGGCGGGAACCAGGTCTAATTGTTTACCACTATTGACACAGAGCTTAGCCCTGGGCCTATAATGCTTGCTCCATAAATATTTGTGGAACGAGAACATTGAAGGAAACATTTAGTGGCACCCATCCTGTCCTGCCTCTCTTAGTCATGGCACAACATTTCATTCCACGGAATAGAAACCCATTCCAAGAAGCTCAAGAAAAGGGGAGCTTTATTAGAGATAAACAAGGCATCTCATGGAGCTCATGGCAGGAAGTGGAGGCTGGGGCATCTGATGGCTCCCATTTAGGGAGCCAGCTCATGCTTTGTGCCTGGCATTGGGTTACGAGCTTTACGTACATGCTCTCCCCCTTGCGACAGCCCTGAGAGGAAGGTAGACATGCCTCCAATTAAAAGACATGAATCCGAGGCTCCAAAGTGGTAACTGGCCTATAGAATCACATGGTAAATGTGGCTGAGCTGTGATCTCCACCCAGGTCTGTTTGACTGTGTCTCACTCCAAAGCCAAGCCCCTCACTGCTACGCCACACTGCCCTTTTCGATAGGGTAGGGTGACTCCATCTCTTCCCTTTTCCCTAGTCCCATAGAGCCCTTAGTTCTTGTCCCTTCCTCAACTTCAGCTTGGTCATTGGTCCCAGGTCTAGGTGCTCTGCCCCTAAACTTATGACCCAATGACAGTGCGAAGCCCCACATCCTCAGCCTCTCGTGCCTTAATTCCAAAATCCAGCAGAGAGAATCTGTCAGCCTAGCTGGGGTGAGGTGTCCCTTTTGATCCAGTCAGCGCTGGGTGTGTTGAAGATGGGGTCAGCCTGGGCATGTGGGACTGGCGGGTTTTCTTTCTGAGATGGGGTGTGGATGGTGGGTCTCTCGCAGGTGGCCTGCCGGGGGCTGGGAAAGGTGTGAGTGGGTGAGCAGAGAGCCTGCACAGTGTAGGAAGTGTCGGGATCATGAGACAGGCAGATGGCCCTGTGGGAGTGGGAGTGGGTGGTGGTCACATGGCGTTGGACAAAATGGTGGTGGAATCAGGAGATCTCCTGCGGGGTGCGGAGGAAGAGCAGAAGTGGCTCAGCAGAGGGGTGGAGGTGACTCAGGTGGGGGACATAGCATGAGCAATGGGATGGGAGGAAGAAAGCACTGGTTAGGACTGGGGAAGGCTGTGCACTGGGAATTATTCACCAACAAGTGACCCACTGGGGGTGTTTTCATGTGTCCCTATTCCCTTCTGGGTTAGTTGTCTGCCTTGAGGGTGTGGTTTTGGATGCTGTTCTGTTTCCCACTGTGTTTTGCGTTTTCCATTGTTCCTGGCCTTGGATTTGGCATGGGGTGTGACAAGAACAAGGTCCTGGGCATGGGCTACAGAGGTGAGTCCTCCAGGAGCTTGCCCTCTAGCAGGATCCCAGTACTGGCTGGAGAGAAGAAGGTAGCAGGGAGGTGGGAGGTTGGGGCAGGTCGCCACCAAAGGCGAAGAAGGGGGGTCTCCTGTTTTGAAGTTCCAGGTCTGATATATTCTGCCTTATAGTTTCCAACACACTTTTGGGAGATTGTGTCTTTTGAGTCTTTTAGTTTAGTCCTGCCTCCGAAATGGGTAGGACAAGTATCATCCCAGGTTCACAGGTGTGGACTTACAGACGAGGCTCAGGGAGGCAGGGACCTTGCCCACGGTCACACCACCAGGAGCCTGTTCTGTGGGCTCTTCTGACCTGTGACAGTTGCCTTTGTCAACCTGTCTTTTCTCCTCTTTCTTTGCTGCCTGATTATGCCTGGCCATCCCAGCTTGGTAGCTTCTCCTGGGATAACTGTGACGAAGGGAAGGACCCTGCGGTGATCAAAAGCCTGACTCTGGAGCCTGACCCCATAGTCGTTCCTGGGAATGTGACCATCAGCGCCCAGGGCAAGACCACTGTTGCCCTCAGTTCTCCTCTGACGGTGAGTCTGGGAGGGGAGCGGAGATGCCGTGGGCTGCTAGCAGGGGAACCGAGGGTGAATGCTTAGGGAACGGTGAAGAATTTTAGAATTCTGGAGTTACGGGACAGCACAGGATGCGTAGATTCAGACTCTTACTTGGGGTCATGGAATCTCACGATCATAGGATTGAAAGGAATCTCTGATGTCAGCCCCAACAGCTTCCTGGTGAGGGAAGGGATGACTGATACCTCACGCCTGGTAAAAGCGCCCCAGCCTTGTCTGGAAGCGGTGGCTGATGCTCACCATCGTCTGACAGCTCTGCTTGGGCATTTAAATTTTGTTGCTGCTGTTGTTGTTAATTACAAAACAGGCATCAATTAGCCAGTAATACATACTCTCTTTAGAAAACACAAGTGGTCAAAAAATGAATAGAAGAAATCGCCTGAAATCTCACTACCTAGTGATAACAGATAAGGACTTTTAACATGTTGTAGGATACACGTTGCAACTTTCCGCTATACAATCACAGGTATAACATACATATTTATTTTCAATGGATATATATGAAAATAAGCAGTGCTCCTTGTAAATATCCTCCTGGAATCTGACTCCTAAAGAGACTCATCCTTAGCTATTTATATATCCTGTCAGGTTTTTCTTTACATTTGTGAATATATACACATATATACTAATGAATGGGATTATATGATACGTGCTAGTAAGCTTGCTTTTTTTGGTATCACATTATGTGTTTCATACTTCTTTCTAATGATTAGTAGGTTTACCCAATCATTTTTAACCTAATCATTTTTTTTTTTTTTGAGACAGAGTCTTACTTTGTTGCCCTGGCTAGAGCGAGTGCCGTGGCGTCAGCCTGGCTCACAGCAACCTCAGACTCCTGGGCTCAAGCAATCCTACTGCCTCAGCCTCCCAAGTAGCTGGGACTACAGGCATGCGCCACTATGCCCTTTTTTCTATATATTTTTAGCTCTCCAATTAATTTCTTTCTATTTTTGGTAGAGACGGGGTCTGCTCTTGCTCAGGCTGGTCTCGAACTCCTGAGCTCAAATAATCCGCCCACCTCGGCCTCCCAGAGTGCTAGGATTACAGTCGTGAGCCACCGCGCCTGGCCCAATCTAATCATTTTTAATAGTAGAAATATTCTGTTGTGGACCTTTCATAATTCATATAAAAAATCTGTTATTGGACATTTAGTTTGTTTCCAGGTTAGTGTTTGTTTGTTTTGTTTATTTATTTATTCATTGGCTATTATAAAGATTTTTGTAGAGATTTTTCTTATAATGCATCCTTTTAGGATTTTCTGACTATCTAGATTCAGACTTTTTAGGTCTTCTGATGCATGTTGCCAAAGTGCCTCCCTGTGTTTGAGCCAACTTATCCCCTAACCAGCAACAACAGTTTTGCCTTTTCCATACATTTATTAACACTGAGAATTTTATATAAATCTTTGCCAGTCTTTTATGCCATTCCTAGTGAGCTTAGATGACTATTCATAAGTTTATTTGCCTTTTAAATTTACTTCGGGAATAACCAGTTTATCTCTGTGCATTGCCTAATTTAGGGGTGGATTTAGGAGAAAAATAAAGGCTTTCTGTATATCTGTTGCAACACCATTTATTGTAGTCCTTTACTCTCTAGCTTAAATTGCCATCTTCATACGATGTTCTAACATGCCCTCCAGTCTGTTCCTGGTCCAGATCTATTCTGGCAGTTTTGTCTTAATTATTTGAAAGATTCCTGATTTGGAATCTGTGTCCCTGTAACTACCCTCAGACCTAGCTTAATCACAGCCCCTACCTTACAGGTTTCCCTTGAGCAATACCTGAGTTAATAAATGATGTAGAAATTTCCTACACAGGGCCCAGCACCCAGGACAAGCACAGTACACGTTCGGTCTTGTTAACAATGCAATTAGCATGTGTCTTTCCATGCAGCCCCACTGGCCCAGACACAAGTCCTGGCTACATAGCAGCTCTCAGCTTCCCTGCATTTGCTCCCAAGTCTTCTCCTGGCTGGGCCATTGCATTTTCTTTACTGTTTCTCAAGTGATAGGGGGCCGAGGGACAGAATCATTCCTTATGTCTGGACACTGGACTGTCACTCTGCCAAGGGTCAAAAAAATACCACTTGTATGCCCCCTCTGCTGAATCTGGGCCCCAGGCCTTCTACCATGCTCACTCTCCTGCCACCTCCTGCCTTTGCCACACAGCCGCTGGTGGCATTTCCAAGAACACCAGGATGTGCAGCTGACTTGGAGGCAAGAAGCTGGTGGGCCTCCTCTTCGGCCCTCAGACTGCTTTTCCTGGCTTATTCAGAAGCTATTAAGATGGATTTTATACCTGTCATAAATTTGGGCCTAATTAACTTCTTTTGTCTTTACTCTCACTTTTGCATAGTAAAAATTGACCTCAGATCCCCTCGGCTCCTTCTCTTCCCCCCACATTTCTCTTACTTATATATTTTTCGTCCAGCTCTTTTTTCCTTTCAGGGTACGTGCACATCAACTATTAGATGAAAGCCTCTCCGATGCTTGCTAGGGAGAACAGACGATAGGGATACGAGGCTCTGGGAAGGGAGCCACTTGCCCAGGTCTTGTAGCTAGTTGTTAGCAAGGGCAGGGCTTGTGTGTTTATCTTGCGGTTCCTGCTCCTGAGTTCCTTCTGGCAGGAGGTAGAATTAATGCTTGGTGTGTTTGCAGGGGAGGTAAGGTAAGTGCTCCTGCAGGTTCATTTCCAGAACGTTCCCCTTCCCAGCAGATCCCCTTATGAGAGCTGCCTAGGCCTAAGCACTGTTTGAGCCTGAGAGCTCTGGAGGTCTATGGGACTTCAACCCCGCGTTATACTGAATACAGAGGGGAGGGACCAGCCCAAGCGCATGCAGCTTGTTAGCGATAGAGCCAGAAAGTAACTCAGATCCTCTCTTCTCTGACCTTGCTGTAGTGGAATTTCTTTAATCAGAAGTCTCATCTGAGGCCAGGCGCGGTGGCTCACACCTGTAATCCTAGCACTCTGAGAGGCCGAGGCGGGTGGATCACTTAAGGTCAGGAGTTCAAACCAGCCTGGGCAAGAGTGGAGACCCCATCTCTACTAAAAATAGAAAGAAATTATCTGGACAACTAAAAATATATATATAGAAAAAAAAAATTAGCCAGGCATGGTGGCGCATGCCTGTAGTCCCAGCTACTCGGGAGGCTGAGGCGGGAGGATTGCTTGAGCCCAGGAGTTTGAGGTTGCTGTGAGCTAGGCTGACGCCATGGCACTCTAGACAGGGCAACAGAGCCAGACTCTGTCTCAAAAAAAGAAAAGTAGTCTCATCTGAGACCTAGATGGTTTTTACCCCAGCCGCAGTTTTTAACAGTTGGATGCCCCAGATTCCAGGAGCTGTGAGCGAGATCGGGGATTGCACTGGAACTCCCTTCCCTCTTCTGACGTGCCATGTGGGAGCGGGCATAGTTTATAAGTCCTGCTGCCTGGCCCTCCCTCAAGTTCCAGCCTGGGGACCCTGGTTTTCCTATCCTCAAGTATTGTAAATTGTCCCCGTTTTTGGCGTATATGGTTATTTCAGGCTTTCAGGCCCAATGATGTGGTCCCCCACCTGCCCAAGTCATATTTGTAGTGCCCCCTTTCCGGGGCCTGGGTCAGAGATACAAGTGCCCCTCCCCAGTCTAATCAACGGCTGCTCTTCAAGTCACTTGCTGTCAGTGAGTCTTTATCTGGGGTCTTTGTGTGAGTAGCCATATGTAGGGACCAAAAGGAGAAGTTGTTTTTTTTCCCCAAATTGCAAGAAACTGACTTTTAGGATGTCATAACAGGTAGGTACCTGATTGTCAAGATGGAGAAACAGAGTCCCTGAGAGGGGAAGGGACTTGATTAAGGGCCTCAGCAGGTACGTGCCAACCTAAGGCCAGAACCTAAGAGCCCTACACCAGGTCCCATGCACAGAAGAGTGTATTTAGGCTGTGCTATGGAAGTCGCAAGAAAGTCCTGGAATTACCCAGCCCCACTTGCTCTTCTGAGCCATCCTAGCCAGTAGATTGAGACTCAGAAATGAGTCATAGTTTGTAATCCCTAAATGGTAGGCGTGGCTCCTGCCTTAGAACCATCTATGGACTTAAGTTCAGCGCCCCTCCTACGTCACGCTTGGGCTGGGGGTAGGAGTGGAGGCGAGGGAGGCACTGCCCCCTCTAGACCATGCAGCCCTATGGGGCTTAAGCCTGCCAGGAAGAGCCAGGCAGGATGCTGTCCCCTGCTGGCCCCCTCGGCTGGGTGTTCTTGTTCAGGGCATAACCGGCTCAACCATTTTTATTGGGGTATTGGGGAAACGAGGAGAGGGTATTAACTAAAGAAGAAGATGGGATACAAGTCAGGTGGGAGGCAATTTTTGGATTTCAGACGCTGTGTTAAGTGCTGGGCAGTTACGGTCTCATTGGATGGGACCCGTGCTAGAGGTAGGCACTATGAGATATCAGGCTTTTGAAGATGAGGAAATGGACGCTCAGAGGAGATAAGTAACTCGTGCAAGGGCATAATGCTAGTAAGTGGCAGAACTAGCCTTCCAACCCAGGCCGTCTGGCTCTCGGCAGGGGGGTGGTGGGAGCAGGTTTGGCAGGAGAGAGGAGAGCTGGGAGGGTGCTGTGTGAATGGGGGTGAGGATAATGGGTGTGTGTCAGCAGCAGCTGAGGCCCGCAAGGGAGCAATTTGAATTTGTCCACTCGAGATACAGGGTGTGTTGACTTCTGCCTTCTTTCTGGGCTTGGAGGAAGGCAGCTGATATCCTCCCATCTCGAACTCCTGACCTCGAGCGATCCTCCCGCCTCGGCCTCCCAGAGTGCTAGGATTACAGGCGTGAGCCACTGCGCCTGGCTGGCAACCAATATCCTGACATCTGGGGCAGGTGGAAGACTCGAACCCACAGCCTGAGCCTAGCAGGCTGTGGGGGAATAAGTGCCCCGTCAGCATTTGTCTCTTAGAAACAAAGCCCCAGGGAGAGCGAGCCCGGAGGCTGAGACTCATAGAATGCTAGAACGTCAGAGCTGAAACAGCTCCTACAAATGTGGCTTCCTGCCACAGCACCCACAAGGAATCAGATACTTGAGAGCTTGTTTCCTGCTGCTCTTTCCTGAGAGTTTTCCCTTGATACCTTTGCTGGGGCATGAACGTGGTTCTAAGGAATAACTCATTTGGCACGAGAGTCAACTAACAAATGGTGAGTGCTCAGCACGTGCCAGGAACAGCTGGGACTGTCCGCCTTGAAGTTCTGGCCACTTGTCCCTGTTAGGCTCCGACCTCCAGAACAGGAGGAGAATCATGACAGCATGGAGGTGTGAAGCGTGTTCTAGATCTTCTCATCTAGCTTCTCTCTGGGTGCAGGGGTCCTTCTGTAGCTTTCCCAACTGAGTCCAGGGAGCCACCACTTCTTGGGGTCGTTCCATCTGTTGTAACCTAGCTGTGATTAAGATTGTATACCAATCGCAAAATGATCTCCCCGTAAGTTCCTATTGTTCTTATTTCTGTCTTCTGTGGCTATACAGAGAAAATATGATGCAGGAACGGCCAATGAATCTTGGTAACCAGCTCCAGTCAGTTGATGGTAGCTGTCTGGAGTCCTGTGTAGAAAAGGGTTCTGAGGCCAAGACTGGGCTCAGAGGGAAAGTGCAGGAGACAAGAAGTTCACCAACTAGCAGTTAGATGACAAGTACATTTCAATGTTAGCTCCAATCAATGGTTAGTGACTACCTAAAGAATTCTAGGACTGTGTGTAGTTCAATGAGGGAGAGAAATTCACATTCAGTTATTAATGTCTGCTATGGGCACAGGAAAGGGCCTGTGCCACAATACTGTCATTCTTGGAACAGAATATCGCTAAGGTCCCATTGAGTTAAAAATTCTGTGATTAAAATATAGTGCTGACTTTTTTTTTTTTGAGACAGAGTCTTGCTCTGTTGCCCAGGCTGGAGTGCAGTGGCATGAGCCTAGCTCACAGCAACCTCAAACTCCTGAGCTCAAGCAATCCTCCTGCCTCAGCCTCCTGAATAGTTGGGACTATAGGTGTGAATCACCATGCCCGGCTAATTTTTTCTATTTTTTAAGTACAGATGGGGTCTTGCTCTTGCTCAGGCTGGTGTTGAACTCCTGACTTCAAGCAATCCTCCTGCCTTGGCCTCCCAGAATGCTAGGATTACGGACATGAGCCACTGTACCTGGCCTATTGCTGACCTTTTAAAGAGACACAGAGGCTGGTATGTTTGCCCTGGAATTTACACTTGTAACCTTTTTCAAACTCTTTTTCACCAGGTGGAATTAACGGTGGAGAAGGAAGTGGCTGGCTTCTGGGTCAAAATCCCGTGTGTGGAACAGATTGGCAGCTGTACATATGAAGACTTCTGTGATGTGCTTGATACTCTTATTCCCCCTGGGGAGCCCTGCCCAGAGCCCTTGCACACCTATGGGCTTCCCTGCCACTGTCCCTTCAAAGACGTGAGTACTCAGCGAGGGGACAGCCTTACTCCTGTGACTAAAGAGATGGGGTTTAGACAGGGTTTAGCATTCTCCTCCTGTAGATCTGGATGTTTCTGGATATGCAAGTTGGTATGACCTTTCTGGAATCACTTAACTTTTAGGGGCCTCAGTTTATCCATCTTTGAAATGGGAGACTTGAACTTGGATGTGATCTCCAAGGCCCCTTAGCTATAATAATCTGTGCTCCACAGAGCCATGGCAGTCTCTAACCTTATGTTGCTATTAGGAGAGGGGTGGTTCCTGGCTGTAATCTTAGTGGTGGCTCCAGGAGGGAGATCCCATCAGTAGGCCCCCACTGACTGGTGATCCACTGGCTTTCCCACAGGGCACCTACTCACTGCCCAAGAGTGATTTCACCGTGCCTGACCTGGAGCTGCCCAGCTGGCTCAGCACCGGGAACTACCGCGTCGAGAGCATCCTGAGCAGCAGCGGGAAGCGTCTGGGCTGCGTCAAGATTGCCGCCTCTCTAAAGGGCAAATAGTGGGGCAGCAGCCACAGTAGAATGAGAGGGTGTGAGGAAGGTCTCTCTTCCTCTCTTGTGTTTGCCAAGACCAAATTCTGACTCTGCCCTTCTCCAACTCCTTTCTACAATGAGTCTGCTACCCTCACTGAAAATCATCTTGCGCCACTTACATTTTAGGCTGGGGCAAGCAGCCCTGAGCTAATGGAGGTCGAGTCTGGCAGCTCTTGACAGCCCAGGACATCTGCTGGGCCAGCCATGTCACTTCCCCCAGCCCTGTCGCTTTCTTTCTAAAGAGCTTCGTTCATTTCCAAACAGTCAAAGAATGGGAACCAATGTGTTTTGGGACCTCAAGTTTAGACTGCTTGGCCTCCTGAAGTACCTTTATGACTTCCTTTTTTACTGGTTACTAACTTAAAAGCAGAGTGAGAGTATTAACATTTTCATTCTGCTCCAGCCCCCTTTTACAATGAAGAGGCTTAAGTAGTTGATGTTAGTCTACTCCTCCATTAATTTCTGTGGTTAATTTTGATTTCTTTTCTAGGTTTGCCCAATTAACACTGGGGCACAGCGTGTCCCCGAGAGGCAGGGTGCGTGTGGGAAGTCCCTTGGGGGAGATACTTAGGAACTCGTTTACAAACTCAGGTGCCGCAGGCAGTGAATGACGAGGACTACTAGAAAGCTGTTGCCTCTTTTTTTGATAAAGATAATACATACAATGGAACGATAAATACTTCTTATACTACACAAAAAGTTAGAGCACACATGCATTGACATCAGGCAGCCAAGCCCCGGCTCCGCTGCGTCTAATTAAGGATGGCAAGGACTGGCGTAAGGTGGAGAGCACACAGCCAAGTTGGTAAGGACGGCCCAGCTATAAGCAGGCAGTGCCATGTAAAAATTTTGTGGGACTAGTATTGCCAAATAGTCTCAATTTTTTTCTCTTGGAGAAGCCAAAAATCCAGATTTTTATATGAAATCTTACAATTTTTAAACATTGGCAGCTAATTTTTTTTTTTTTTAACACTGTGGGCCAAAGGGGCCACACGGACATGTTGGTGGGGAAATTTGGCTCGTGGGTATCCAGTTTGCAACCTCTGATCTAAGACCGTGCACACCTTGTCCTCTCAAGACAGCTCCTGGCGCCATTTCTCCCTCCATAGGGCCAAATCCATAGTGTCTGGCTCCAAGGAGAAGGCTCTTCCAGTGCCATGGGAGGTGCAGGCGGCCTCTCGGCTGTGAGCTGCGGGGGTCCCAGGGCTGCCTGCCCCAGCCCTGGAGATCCGTTGGGGTGAAGAGCGCAGGTACGGAAGAGTTGGCCCTACAAGCGGCTGCTCTGTGGGGTGCAACGCAGAGAGGGTGGACTCGACGTCAGGCTGCCTGGATTTGTCCACCACCCCGTCATGCCGTGACAACTTCCTGAACCACACACCAGCCCGGCATTCTGGGCTCATGTGAAGCCTGGAATGGCAATAAATCTTTTTAACTTGCTGAGAATTTCTCCTTTGTCTTGGCTGCGTTTTTCATGTATCACATCTTGGGGTCTCAGAAGCTTGTTTGGGTGGGCTGTTTGCGTCGGGAGGATTTGTGGCCGTGGTCCAGGTAAGCCACGGCAATTTTAGAGACCAGCTCCTCTGCTTCTGTCTCGTGAGCCGCTTGTCGTCTCCGCTGCGTTCTGTGTCGTCAGCGTCTGGCTCCTTCGTGTGCTGTTTTGCTTTCCCATCACATCGCGACCTCGGCTCAAGCCTTTTTTCCCCTGTTGGATCTTTCTGCCTTATTCTCACCATTGTTTTTTGGTTCATATTCTTGAATGGAATCTCAGTGGCTCACTTGATCTTTTTATGTCTGCCGTGCCTTTAGGTCAAATGTTTCTTGAGGTCTCTTTGCAGTGGGAGGTGAGAAGTGGAAGGTGGCATCTCAAAACACAGGACACGTGGACTTTTTTTTTTTTTTTTT